ACGCTTGAGGTATTCGTCCAATCACTAGGCACTGTATAGTTGGCCAATCACAGCACACCTCGCTTTTTTAGATCGATGAGCTTTGTAAAAATCGACGCGTTTCAAAAAGGCGGGGCATAGAGGAGAAACAATAATGTACAGTATGTGGAAAATAATGTGTTTTTTTTACTTTAAACCGCATAAACACATTTCATTACACCAAATACACAAAATAATGTTCTTTTTAGCAGCATCATATGACCCGATTAAGTAACTCATCCGGACCGGATCCGATCTGGACCCGTTCATTTAGTGGGTCTATACCTTATTTAAAATGGGTAATCTGGCCAAAACTAGCAATGGAAATACCTCAAATAGAGCCAACAAACATTATATAGACTAGCCTGCTCTATAAAAGTGTAATATGTCTCCCTTTATTAATATTAATAAACCATAAAATCATTCAAAACTTGAAAAAATCTAAACTTTCATTGGCCAGTAATAATGAAACACTATAAAAAGTAGGTAATTACATGAATAAAAATAAAAAATAAAATGCAACCACAAATTGTACAAAAACATTGTTTTATTTAATGAAAAACTTTACCTCTAAAAAGACAATTCAGTTCAATAACTTTGTAAAGTTAATATTTACGAATGAATTAGTTCAATTCAGCCATAAGGAATTTTATAGCACACAAAAGTTTCATTATTCACTTTGTGTTAGCTTGATGTTGATTTAATAAAATTCAATGTTGTTTTCCAGGTTTTGTGATGCCACAAAGCGACCCATTAGAATATCATTAAAATAAATCCCGCCTACGTAAATTCTAATGGTTGGGGGGTGGGGAGGGGCGAGGTCCTGGTTAGAACCCTTGGTTGAGTGCGTCAGACAAGACGACGACGAAGAAGAAGTGCTGCTCTAGCTTCAAGTTTTCACAATTTATTAGACATGCCATGCACCTGAATAATTATGTATGTAAATATGTATGTAACAATTATGAAAACGTTTTTATAAATTACTGACAGTACAATACTGGACAATGATGTAATTTGCAGAATTTACACTTCAATTATGAAACTACAGTGTTTCCCATACATTGATTTATTTGTGGCGCCTGCCACAGTATCAAAACTGACCATCACAAATAGATTTTCCAAAAGGTTTTGACTTCGTTGAATAAACATGAGCACTGCACATTTCAAAATCGAAACCCGGTGTGGGTGTTTTTATATCACTGTATTTCTGAAGGTAACCGACTGTCTTCAGAAAATTTTGGATGTCATTTTCATCTCTTCTTGCATGTAATGTCTGATAAAGCAGTGTTTGTGAGCGAAGCCAAAGTCCTTTTAAGTATTCTAGTCATTGGTGGAGCGCTGCTTTGTGTACAGCCGTTACCGGGGAAACCTCAATATCTACCACTCCAACAGCGCCTCCTGCTGGCAGAGAATGAATTTGCATATATATGCCGCCACAAATAGAGTCTAACTTTACTACTTAGTCTGTGGGAAACACCGGACTATGGTATAAATAAATTCAACTGTATCCATCCACCTTTGTCTTCAACGCAGAAGTAAGCCTATGGGCAAGACTTCCGGTTCATTAGCCGCTATAGGGAAATAATGAGAAGAATAACAACGTGCAGCTGTAAAACTTTGCATTAAACCAATGTGTTCGTAATTAAGACAACACATTCAAATAATATGGTAAGACACACCAATTTTCAATATCAAGCAGCAAAACGGGTTCTGTACAGCTAAAAATAGCTGGACGCGGATGAGACGCCAGACCCATAGAATTTACAAATGGCCGCAGCCATTTTTACGGAAGAAAAAGGTGGATAACAGTTTCACTGCAATTCATGTTATAATGTTAGAATTAAAGAACAATAAACATAAGAGGCCTACATATTACCATTGCACTTATCTGTACATAGTAAATGTAGTTTTTTTTAAGCGGTTGTTGACATCCTATCTAAAATGTGATTTAGCAAAAAAAAAATAAAATAAAAAACAACAATAACGTTACCACTATATATATATATATAGATATATGGTTACCACTCTAATATGTCTTGCAATATCCGTGCGTGCAAAGGTTCTGTGCGATCCTCTTGTTCAATATCCGACTCAAATTGGTATGGCATCCTTAAAGGTGGGGTAAGTGATTTCTGGTAGCCAATGTTGACATTTGAAATCACCAAAACAAACACGCCCCTACCCCAAAAGTTTCCAAAAGGTTTTGACTTCGTTGAATAAACATGAGCACTGCACATTTCAAAATCGAAACCCGGTGTGGGTGTTTTTATATCACTGTATTTCTGAAGGTAACCGACTGTCTTCAGAAAATTTTGGATGTCATTTTCATCTCTTCTTGCATGTAATGTCTGATAAAGCAGTGTTTGTGAGCGAAGCCAAAGTCCTTTTAAGTATTCTAGTCATTGGTGGAGCGCTGCTTTGTGTACAGCCGTTACCGGGGAAACCTCAATATCTACCACTCCAACAGCGCCTCCTGCTGGCAGAGAATGAATTTGCATATATATGCCGCCACAAATAGAGTCTAACTTTACTACTTAGTCTGTGGGAAACACCGGACTATGGTATAAATAAATTCAACTGTATCCATCCACCTTTGTCTTCAACGCAGAAGTAAGCCTATGGGCAAGACTTCCGGTTCATTAGCCGCTATAGGGAAATAATGAGAAGAATAACAACGTGCAGCTGTAAAACTTTGCATTAAACCAATGTGTTCGTAATTAAGACAACACATTCAAATAATATGGATAAGAGGCCTGCATATTACCATTGCACTTATCTGTACATAGTAAATGTAGTTTTTTTTAAGCGGTTGTTGACATCCTATCTAAAATGTGATTTAGCAAAAAAAAAATAAAATAAAAAACAACAATAACGTTACCACTATATATATATATATAGATATATGGTTACCACTCTAATATGTCTTGCAATATCCGTGCGTGCAAAGGTTCTGTGCGATCCTCTTGTTCAATATCCGACTCAAATTGGTATGGCATCCTTAAAGGTGGGGTAAGTGATTTCTGGTAGCCAATGTTGACATTTGAAATCACCAAAA